GTTGACTCGGATGGACATAAAACTGGTTGAATGGAAAGTACGAAACATGAACGACTGTTAAAAAAAAAGTGTACAGAAGTCAACTATCAAGTACTTTCCAGAAACGTTACGAGACATTCTGAAATTTAACCCAGCATACTTTCAGATTCTTTGTCTTTTCGTCATCCATTTTGCTGCCAATAAGCCTTGGGAAAGAAAGGGAACAGATATAAATATACAGCTGTCAAACCTTCATCAGGAAGACGGTTGCGTTTTATTTTTTTGCAAACTAAAGCTCGATCTTTTGTTCTATCATGAAGCAACACACCTTGATTTTTTTGGGGGGGAAACCCTATCCCTTCCTTGTGGACAGTTTCTGCTTACCTGTGCTTTAGGAGCACCTGTTCACTCCTGTGTTTTTATACGATGACAAAGAATATTTCTACAATTCTGTTTCACGATACTGACAAGTGTCAACCGTTGAGACCAATGGGAAGTAAATAAAGCCATCCAGAGTTTAATAAAAGAAGCCTTTCAAATAGGAATATACAGGGATGAAGAAAGACTTCCGGGACAAACAGGTCTCCCCACCTCAAACCTGACCCTAATCTATTGTGGTTAACAAAGGGTGCAGCTGTAGAAAGGGCTTTTGGCCTAATTCCTTGATGCTCAAAATGCCAAGCAACCCAGTGCATGTTCAGAGCCTCCCCGTGCCCCTACAGCAGAACATGTGTTTTGTTTTTATAACTTGTCAGCCATCAGAGAATCTGCTCAGTGGAGTTCCGGTCGAACAAAGACAACACAGCTCAAACACAGTGGAACTAATGAGGGAGGTGGTTACGTAACAATCTCCTACTGTTGTCACATAAAAAGACTCTGTGGAGCCAAACTCCTCTTCCTCCCCCCCCCCCGCCCTCTCGCATTTTCTCACGTTCACACTGAGAGAAAGTCTCACCTGGGCCATGCTGCAGAAACATCCTGAGGAGGCTCCAGTTGGAGACTCAGGGAAACCCGAAACTGTCTGTCTCTCCGCCGCAGGATTTATGCAGCCCGACGAAATAAAAGAAGCCCATGAGNCAGCAAAACACAAGCTGTTTGTAAAGTGCTGTTTCTGGGTAGCACTTTATAATCCCTCCTTTGTAGACAAGCAACTGTTGATTCAACCCTGAGCAGTGGGATTTTTATTCTAGGCATGTCCTGTTTTATTAACGCAACGAGTTACACATTTTAGACACACACACACACACACACACACACACACACACACACACACACACACACACACACACACACACACACACACACACACACACACACACACACACACACACACAGAGAGAGAGAGAGAATTCATTGGAAAGCAGATATGCACAAACAGGCTTTGAAGGTAATAGGAAATAAAGACTACAAGCCCTTAAAGAGCCGGTGCGAGCAGACAGTCATGAAACAAGGAACAGAAAATATTCCAGACTTTCACATTTCCTCGTCTCTGAATACGAACCTCTGCCATCAGGACAAAAGTGCAGATCAAACCACTGGAAGCTATCGTTTGTTCAACCTCCATCAAGCCTATGACACTAATGCTATATCTTAGTGCAATAAAGGAATGTGCATTTTGTACAGAAACATTTCACACATTTCAGCTGTCAATTCGCTTTGCATCAGCCAATCGGTTTGCTGCTCCCTCACTGCGAGTTGGACCCAGGTACCCTCCAATAAAAACACACCCGTTTGCTATCCTGGCTACAAAATGGTGGAATGAGCGTCCCATTGATATCAGGACAGCAGGTCTACAAATCTTCGTCGCTAACTAAAAATCCATCTGTTTTTCTTGTACCTTGGCCATTAAATAAAAAAAGGATAATGGTTTGGCTTATTTAATGCAAAAATATCAGATATAAGAGTTTGTATCTTTATGGTTCATTGCACTTATTGTGAGTCGCGTTGGAAAGAAGCGTCAGCTAATGAAATGTAATGTAAAATCAAATGTCTTGTATAAGATTTTATTTGTGGTGTTTTCAATGTAAGACGACAAACGGTAACACTGTGCCTAAGACTAATTTCCCCCACGTATAATAACGTTGAGTCTATCCTACTTTAAGTGTCTTCTCTAACGACGTTATTCCAACCAACTAAACATTCTTGAATTCTTTATAAATCAGGGTAGGTCCAAACCAAAGGAAGCTGACACCGTCGGTGTTTAACATTCATTGAGGTGAAATAAAACCGTTAAAAACAATATGGGAAGCAGCTCAGTGCTCTTATATGATGCTAATGACTCAGGAGAGACAGAGAGAAGCCTGTGCTGCTGTATTCTGCTGTAGGGGTGGTCGATGAAAATATAATAATCTATTACTGGACTTATTTTACTGCAGGAAAAGTGAAACGTTACCTGCTGAACTTACAGGCTCTAAAATTAGCCCGTCAGCCACAAAAATCCCTGTGCTGAGCAGTACAACTTTTAAATGCCTCCGGAAATATCAGGGTGGAGTGAGCTGTAGACATCTGAAAATCTAAATATGTGGAGTTTCTTTTCTTAACTGAAAAAGGAATTTGCAGCAGGTAGAAATTCAGTAAAGTAAGGTATCAAAAGTGACCTAAAAGTAGACGTTTGCTAGGGATTATGAACAAATAATGCCAAGCTGTATATAAATCAATACAATATTTCAATGAATTGATAATGAAATCATTCAAACAGAGCTATCATCAATATTGTGCTACAATAGTTTGCACAACAAAAAGAGATTAGGCTCACCCGCTAGCTGCATGATGTAAAAAAAAAAGTTGATCCTCTTAAAACACGTGAAGTCGCACACTGGCTCTGACACTGATAATCTGCAGCGGACTGAAACACACACACAGGCCCGCTGCGCTGCTCCATGCCAGACTCTTTAAATGCCCCACAGAGAAGGTGGCAGTTAGCGTTTGGCACCGCTGTCGTTCTGGCAGATTTAAATTCCCAAAGCCCTTTGAGATGCCTTCAAACATAAATGCACTTCATCCAGCGCGGTGAATGAGCGCCACTGAGGAGAAGACATGCAGTCACCAGGAGAAAATGGCCAGTCTGTGCAGATTCTGGATCAGCTGCACTGTTGCTAGGCTTGAGGTTTTTCCTCACCAAACATTTGTTTTAACTGCAAGCACTTATTCAGTTTTTGTTTTCAAAGAAACAATATCTGTAGGAAATCGACACGCCCAGGCCAATTTGATGGATTTAAAAATATGTGATGTCCCCTAAGAAAAAGTTTAAAAAGAAAAACACAGTGCTTTCAGTTTCTAACAATTGTGAGCGATATCAGACCATTGATTGGCTTTCATCAGATTTTATCACTACAATTGTAATTGTTTAGATTAGGCAAAGTTAGCTGAATCTATCCAAAGGCACATTTTGAAAAAACAAGTGCAATTTTATGGTTAAAACTATGAGTCAAAACAAGACAGATCGTATTAGGGTTTATGAAACAAACTTAATTTATACGATGTGATTTAGGAAAAGACTGGGTTAAGCTGAAGCAGTAGATGAAGACAGTTCCCACAATTCATTGCTGCTGTGGTTTCTGAGCTGTGACCCAGACTTATACTTCTGTAAATTACAGAGGAGCCTCCTGATAGCGTTAGCCCACACTGTGTCCTCAGAGTGGGAATGGAGTTTGGTTTATGGACACAATAAGCTCCGCTCCTCTGGGAATCCACCACTGACAGTATGAGCCCAGATATTTGGGTTCAAGCTGGGGTCACGGCTCAATTTCTCTCCCTCACACTGCAGCGTGGAGGTACCCAAACAACAGAGAGGCATCACAGGGGATTTTAAAAAGGCATACGCACTCTGAGTGACTACACGTTGAAACGTTTTATCTGACACAAGAGGTTGTTTTCTAGGCTTTTCCTTGAAGCCACAGCACGGAACAATTATGTCCTCTTTTGACAGAGGGTATCATAACTAACACCAAAGAGTTACAAAGCACCACAACAACTTTAGACGCCTCGGCGGCCATATGGTTTCAACTACTCAGTCAGTAGCTGGGGTCATGAGAGCCTTTGAAACTCATATAAAAAGAGCATTAGCAGTCATCCAGAAAACATTCAAGCAGGTAAAGGGCGAACAGAGGCTCCAATAAAGCATCAAAGGATGGATCAATCATCTATGTTATGGTTTCGTCTCAGCGTCTGGACTTTAATAACCAGGTTATTTGTCCCCTATGCCTGGCATTAATAAAAAACAATGTTCTTTTTTATTTACCTCATCTCAAATCTGTGTCAAAGTGAATTTAAAATGATTGTACACCCCATAAAGTAAAAAAACAATGATGCTGATAGATGAAAGTACAAGTAGGCACATAACAGGTTACAAAAGCACTTACAGGGGAACACAGACGTAGGGCTGCTCTATTAATCGTATTTTAATCGCAATTACGATTTTGGCTTGCAATGATTATGAAAACAACATCAAAAAAAAACGATTTAAAAAAAAAAAAATTATTATTTATTTAAAAAGAAAAAAAAAAGTATATATTTTTTTATTGTTTTTTCAATTGAATTATACTTAAAGTTCAGGGTAATCAACTGTTAAAAACATACTACACGTTTTTTTTTCAATAAATGGATGTTTTCAAAGTAAATAGATAATCGTTTTTAAATAATCGTGATCTCAATTATTGACCCAAATAATCGAGATTATGATTTTTGCCATAATCGAGCAGCCCTAGATTCACTGATCTCATGTCAAGGCCCTGAATCTTTTTTTAATGAAGCTACATTGGGCGGATGTATCCAGGTATGGTGTTCACCTTATTCGCCCTTTGAATCCTACCTTTAAGTGTTGAAATGTAAGGCTTTGAGTGGGCTGAGCAAAAACACTGATCTCTATGATTGCCAACAGGGCTATGTTCACACAGGTTTAATATTCATGCAGAGGCACTACAGTTTATAATGTCTGTGCTGTGTCAGATGAATCTGTCAACAAAGGAAAGCCGCAAAACAACTAGTCTGAAGTAGACAAGATAAAAGAAGGATGTTCCTACCTGTGGAGGGGCAGACTGGCATCTGAGTTTCTGAGGAGATAAAACAAAGACAAGTGAGACATTTATAGGATTTTAAAGGAATACTCATGTTTTGAATGAGGAGTGCCAAGACAATACTTCTCAAACCATATCCTTCTGCACTGCCCATTTACATGATGTGCTTGGTATGTTTTTTGTCAGCAAGTGGCTATACACACAGCCTCTCTAGGGTGGTTATGATTACATACGTCAGTCAAAAGTACCCTCCAACTTTTCATGACTTTCCTGCTAGAGAAAGCAACTTTTAGAGCCACTTTTTAAGCCTACAGCTGGGCTTAATCCTCAGAGCAGCAGGAGAACTCCTTTCAATAAGTCACTGTGTGGCCTCTTTGTCACCAGGTGTTTTCAGAGCAGCCCTCATAGACTCTGAGTCTCAGTTTGAAGTTTCAACAGCAGCAAAAGAGCATAAAACGTTTCATTGGTGTTCTCACAAACCGCGTGTTAACCCCCAAACTTCTTAAAGATGCAGTCACTGACACATGTGGTTCCTCTGTTGTGCTTTGAAGACTGAAATTCCACATGAAGACTTGACACAATAAAATGAACACAACACTATATCATGTGTTACAGTGCGGGTGGTCATGGGTAATAAATTGCTCAAATGCCAGTCTTACTGGATCACGTCTGTGCTAATAAGCTGGTGCTTATTAAGCCATGCTGAGTTTGAAAGGCTATGATTTAACAAAAAGAAAAAACCAGAAACAGAGCAAGGAGAGGAGGCAGTCGATACCACAATCAATGAGTCAGCATGGAGTTCAAATGATTACGATCTTCCTTCCTGGTGGCCAATTACTGGGATTATTTTATGAATAACGTGAAAGCTTTTCAAAACTCACTGAGATTAAATCAAGCAAATACTGAAGTCATTCCAGGCCTAAAGATTTCCAACAATTTATGATGTCGTTTTGTCGACACTAGTGCAGCTGCTGAGGAAAGCAGAGCCTGCGGGCAGGTTTAAAACATGACTTTGCTTGTTCCTGCAGTCAGCGCTATAGAAGACAAGAACTCCGAGGACATGTTCCACCTTGGGGGTCCTCCCTCTTCCTGACACGCCCCGGTCTGATTAGGCCTGCTAATGGTTTCTCAAGTCAATGTGCAGTGAGTCATGAAGAAACCTTCTTGATGAAGTGCAGGTCGAGTCAGGCCTTCGTGCATCTACACCTGAATGATGTCAGAATTTACAATGGGTCTCTTAAAATAGAAGCAGCTGTTTTGCATTGGCGGTTTGGCACATATCACACCAAATGAAATGTGCATTGTAGAAGGGATACTTTCGCAATCATGAATATCCTGTGATTTATAAAGCCATGACATCAGATGTTGTGCGGAAGTCACCAAAGTCATAGTCACTATATCGGTCTGGCCTCTTAAACTACCAGGATATGGCTCAGCGGCTCTAAACAGGTTTCTCCACTGAAAAGTCCAACTGTCAGCTATAACGATTTAATGTGTAAACACAATAATCTTCCAATCTGAAACCACAGCATGATGATTATAGCAAACATATGCATTTATTGTTTTGATGGCTCTTACTACGGATGATTCAGTCTTGATGCAAGGTTTTGGACTTATGAGGCACCTACAAAAACATGAGCCAAACCTATGAAGATGTTCTGCCTTGAGGGTCCACCCTTCTCCTGACACGCCTTGGTCTTATTACGCCAGATAATGGTTTTGTCAAGTCAATGTGCAGCTAGTCATCATGACAAACCTTCATGAACTGCAGGTCAGGACTCCTGGATGACGTCAATATGAACGGTGGGTTCGCTTAAATTACACATAATAGCACCTGGTTTGCAATAAACACACATTGCACTCGATGATGCAGTCATAATAACCTGCAATGCATGAAATAACTATCTAGTGTTTGTGTTTTTAACCCTGGCAGCATGGTAGCAAAGGTAGAAAAAAAGAAACCAATCATGTCTGATGCAGTATGATATTATGTCGGCTTGTAATTTTTCCAGTCTTTTGTCTTATTCTATTATGGAGGTTAATTGACACCGTAAGAGTTAAGAGAATGTATTCAGATGTTCTTTGGCCAGATCACTAATTGATATGTTTGTGCCAAATAGTCAGAAGTGGAACAGAAGACTGCTGAATAATATCTGCAATGTTACTGCAGTCAACAGTAAGCATGTAAAAAGCATTCATTATTACTTATTCTGTTTTATTAGCTTAATTGGGTGACTGACACCCAATTCTGTACTTCTCTCCAGGTTAGGGCCCGAGTTTGTTTACACCTCCCTCTCTAGACAAATTTACAAATTTAACAGCCAAACATGTTAGGTTTAAATGTCAGAATATTCTCACCTGGTACCACCTGAGCAAGGCCCAGCAGAGCAGGTAGGCAGCCAGGCTGAACTTCGCGGTGCGGTAGTCCTCCGGGGGACAGGTGAGCTCCGGAGTAAGCTCCCCGCTGCTGGGCTCCTCTCCCCGGGCTGACACGCTGCTCCCCGCGGCAGACTCTCTGTCACCTCCCTGGTTATCCATCATGGTGCTGCTGTGAGGTGGTATGTGGCTCGGGAAAAGTTTTCAGTCCACCTAAAAGTACCTCAGACTTTTCCAGGAGCACTGTCTGCTACTTTTAACATAGTTTCCCATGCTTTCTGCTCTGCTGTCAACTTGTCTCCACTCTGGTGATGCTAGCTGCGGACCTGGTCACGCTCACGTCGAAGATTTAACTGAGCCGCAACTTTGAGCGGAAACGAGTTTATTCTTTCAAATTAAAAGTCCCATGACTGCCTTTCAAATCCACGCTGAATAGCTGCTGCCTGTGCTGTGCTTTATCCTTCACAGTGTGCAGGCTTACAGCGCCACATGGTGGTAGAACATTTTAACACATTCAGATACGTTTCCCAAAGAAGCCATGATCATGATTCATTGTGTTTGTTGGCACATTGCATGGTTTATTGCTAAATAATAATTACAATGTTTAACTTAAATAGTACTAATTGGGATTTTTGTTTTAATATCTCACAGGTGCTCTATCATTTTAATTTGAACGACGTTGTCATCAGTTTTTTTCCACTTAACTACATTATTATTATTTTTTAAACACCGCTCTTGTGTAATGATAAATGTGTCTTTTGATTGACCTTAATGGAGACAAACGATGCACATTAGTCGTGGACCAAAAAGTGACAGCTCATAATTCAACACTGTGTGGTGAGCTAAAAAGAACAAGCCCTTGTCGTTACTCCCAGAAGCTACAGACTTACTTCTATTTCAAAACAAGAGTTAAGTTCATCGTGAATTTCCCTTGTAACATCATTTTGATCACACATGACTCTCATCTAGTCAGAACATTGAAACATAGAGCTGTGAAATGTGTTATTGTGAAGAGCCTGTAAGAAAGAAAATGATATAGAGAATGTGAAGTCTCTTTTTAATTAAAATAGTTTTGCAGCATTGTTGATTAATAAAGAGCCAGTGCAGAGTTTCAGAAAAACGGAAAATTCAACCCTGAAACCGCCAATAGATAAAACGTAACAATGATTGCATACCGTAACATGCAGAACAAGCAATAATGCATAGAGATACACAGTCACACATCTTTAAACATGCTAACAATAAACCAAACCTTCCCGGAGATAATCCTCACACAAAACAAAACTGGGGCTGGTCTATAATTGTAAATTGTACATCAGCGTAGATAAGACAATTAAATAGACAGACTTTAGTTTAAATTAACTTTGTGCATATCCTTTACACTGAGGTACACCACCTGAAACACACACAAACACAGTTACACAGGATTACCTCTTTGACCACGAGCTGAATTGAACAATAATTGAAAGATAAGAATTCAATATGAATTATTGACACTCTTTTTCCGTTTTTTTTTCAATGTCAGTGAACTATTACAGAGCTACCTATAATCTATTTTTTTTTTTGTGAAAGCATCTCACACTCACCTGAGCATGGCAGGGGTCAGGGTAGTCCCGGATGTCCTCTGGGAAAACAGAACGGATCAACTTTTTGACCTCTTCAGGGTAAACGTACGTGGGCTTCCACACACCCCCGTTCTTCACACCGACCCCTTGAAGCCTCTGGAACAAAAGGGAGATGAATAATATTAGAGAACAAGTGGTGGGGCTGAGACAGTACTTCATGATTGCCAGGGGCTGTTAATATGCAAGACTAATCGTTAAACATTATTTGTGCCCATTTTTCAATTTACCAATGAATTTGTGTTTTATTTATTTATGTGGTGAAAGCAAGGCATGAGGATGTAATGGAGGTAGAGGTAGAATCACCAGGTACTCAAGTGTGACCAGCTTATTACACATGTTTTCTGATTGTTGGAGCAGGAGAAACAGGGTATTTTCTCTGAACACATTAGAGACATATATTTATGACATAAATAATTGAATTTGTTCACATGTCACCTTTAACTGTAATTCGTTTTTGCCTTACCTCAATGGTCTTTTTTAGTTTCCAAAACTTGCATGAAAAAAGCAATGGTTGTTCCTCATGGGATTTTATTACATGAGCACTGACCAGTTTCCTCTGCAGAATCCTGTAGACCTTCTTCCGACGGGCGTGGTCAGACCTCAGGTGTTTGGCAGCTTCTAGCACCGATGCTATCCACACAGGAAGTCTGAGGAAACGGGAGGAATGAGATTCGTATCGAAATGGTTATTTCCTGAGCTGTTTAAGATAACACAACTGATAACTTCTGTTTCCATTGACCATGGTATTCTGGATTATGAAATCTTTAGCTTACCCAAATGAACAGCAGAGATCAACGTACACATCCATGAGCAGGTTGATGGAGGTCCGTGGACTCACAGCAAATCTGCCAGTAATAGTCACAGTGTGTGAGGGTTACCTGTCAATCAGGGATACAAAGATACTTAGGCATCAAATCAAACCATAACTGAGCAGTACCACCTGTAGCAAAATTGATTTAAACTATTTAAAAAATCGCTCTGTGCTCAAATGTCTTTATCTGCAAAATTACAAATGAAGGCTACTTATTATCTTTTTTATCGTTCAATCTATAGATAATCCCTTTCATTAATTGTTAGGTCCATGGAATATCGAGTTTAAGGCATTTAAACACAAAGCAGCAAATCTTCCCATTTCAGATACTACAAAATAATGTTTTACCTGATCAAAATTAATTAAAGTAATTGATTAACTGTTTCAACACCAACTGCTATCATATTTACACCCCACAGACAACAATGCAGTTTCAACTATAACCTTTAATACCTGTGAGTGACAGTTGAACTCTCTATAATGAGAGTTATAAAGTGTAAAAAGTAACATTAATGTGTCAACAGTAGCAATGAGTTAGCCTGCTGTATAACATTAGCATGTCAGGTTATTACAACTGAATTAACCTTAAGGTAGTTTTGTCTGATAATGTTACCTGGAATTAATTTTACTTTAATGTATCTGCTTCATGAACTACTTTATTCTGCTTTTATTCTAAGCATATGTCGACAGTAGGCTACAGATAAAGTTGATAAAGTTACCTGTGATTATGTTGAGGTCTCGGTTACTCTCCTCCTACCCAGAGTTCCTAGCGTGAATACAAGTCCTTTAGTGCCTCACTCAGCAACTTCAGGTGAGCGGGAAAACACATCGACAGGAAACAGACTTTAGATCGCAACACCGGTGTTGTGCCGTAGACTGAATGCTTGTCGGTGTTGTGCTTATTATACATCCATGGTTTTGCCGAAATATGCATACCCGCCGAGATATGCATGCACGATGCACCTCGCGGATGCGCGCACAGTTAAAAGCGAAAACTCCCAGACATTTCAACGATTTGTACGGCAAAGTACGGTTTGGAAACGATATCATTTCCTCTTTGGCAAGGTTTGTTTGATCAATCTGTCATTATTTCTCAGGGCGAATTCTCTTGTGTTCTTTTCGCTATGTTTTTAAGCATTTCAGACAGCTTTACTAAACTGTTATTCTAAAATGAGGTTTTGAAATGTGAAAAAATAATGTAACGTCCACTCTGTCAAATAAAGTGCTGTGCCAAAAAGGAAATGTCTCTTCTGCCTGGGGCCCCTGTGTCTTGCGGAGCCACTGAACATGACAAGTAATAATATCACATTATATGATATAGTCAGACACTGTGTTATTTCAAATCAAGCCTAACGAATAATTAGTTCAAACTGGCTTTACTCACTTGAATTGCTCCTTAGAATGTAATTGTACTCTGTGGTTTTCTATGCAACACATTTTTGTAATGTAATGCCACTCGTATTTTATGTATTTGTGCATCGTAAGGTGACATTGAATATTTTGAAAGGTGCCCTCAAACAAAATGTATTATTGTTATTGTATCTGTGCCTCTCTCACACTGTTAATGTTCTCTTTTTTTAGACAAGGACCAAGGTTAATCCTGGTGTCGTTAGGGAAGATCTGCACGGTTCTGTACAGCCCATGTTCAGCAGAACAGGTGGTGCAGTTTCCTGGTTTGGCACCCCCACTATAACTTTGTCCAGGGTAGTCGTACTGTTACCAAAATCCCACCAGTGTTGGTTGTTTCCATCTTATTTGAGAAGGTTTTCCATCTCCGGCAGAGCATATTTTCTATCCTGAGGATAATTAAAACCTTGTATTCGCATGCTGACCAAGTCCTTTCTCTTTTTCTGTTGTACTGTCTGAATAAAATTACCCTTTTTTCCTGGCAATGAGAAATCCCTGCTTTTATAACTTCAAGTCTTTCAAAGTCTTTCAACTGCATGAACAGAAAATAAAGAAGACCGTTTGGGCTAACCCAAATGTGTGGTATATTCTCCATTGATTACAATAGGTTTGTAAAAGCTAATTACAATAAGACCAATAATACATTTGTATTGTTCTTAATATTAGTGTTCATCATTGTTGACATTTGTATTTTTGCATAATCATTAATTATGCATGTACTGATCATTTTTCCCTGTAATTGTAAAATATAAAATATAGGTGAAATGTACATATATTTATATTATTCTTTGCCTTTCCAAAGCATTACATCATTATTTACACAACAAGAAAATGACTTTTTTTTAACACTATTTCACCTTTTCAGAACTACTTAAAAACACGTGTCAGCCTACGTCATTAGTTGACAGCAACAAAAAAATAAGAATTGACCTGTAAGAAATGACAGTATCAACCAGAAAGCTAATTGTTGTTTTTCAATCTTAGTTTTTTCAGAGAAAACGAAAAGGCAAAGAATAGTAGGGAATAATACAGGACAGAATAAATGCATAATTTTTATGCAAAAACATAACTAGTATGACTATGCTACAATACTCCTTTTTTATTTAGGAAAGACACATGGTGGATGTCCATCAAACATGCTGCAGACTTCAACATGTTGGCCAGGTAGAAACCACAGCTGAGCTAGTCCCAACAATGCTTTAGATTTCAAAGACGAAGTAGTCCTTGACACCAGCAAATTGTAAAACAAAGTAGACCTACTTTTACATATGGGAACTGTAGAATATACTGTTCTCATGGACAAAAGGTCTACTTTTGATAAGATTAAATATTCATCTCAACAGTTGTGACTACAGTGCAACTTCTGTAATACCATTACATGCGTCAGCAATGCAATGTAATGTAATGACATAGCAGCTTATAAAGCTAATTGAATGATGTTTCAGTTCATGTCCCATTGTTTTTATTCCTCAATAAATAACACATCTGATATCTTTCTGTGAAATCCCTTCTTTTCCACAACAGACCAGTAACCGGGCACTTCCACACGCCCTGAGCTTAGGATGGGTCAGGCTTTGGGTCAGTGTGAACCGAGCCAGTGCAGCAGCACAGCTTGTAGTAAATGTCCGGGCCCCGCTGGCCTTCACAGTGCCTCTGAGTTTCTGCTGAAATCAGTAAGGTTTCCCTCCGATAGCAGCGATCATCTCCTGCCTCTCTGCAGCTGTCGGCATGTCCGGTTTCACTCCTTCTCTTCTCCGCAGCACCATTATGTTTTGCTACAAGGAAACAAACACAAATTAAAAGTATTTTATATATTACACAGGTCAAAATGATTAGTTAGAGGAACTGAAATCTGTGTTCTCTTCAAAGCCACCATTGAGAAAAATACATTTTAAATTGCAGATCAGTGAACTAACCCTGCATTGATCAGTAAGTTGGTTTGTGTTATTGTGCAACCTTGTTTTAAATAAAATAAATGAATACATTTTCTGGGGAATTTGAAGACAAAAACGTAAACTAAATTATACTAACTTCTTTTAAGCGTTAAAATGGTTAAAGATCTCACACGATCACTGGTGACCTTTGTTCTCATTTAGACATGAGACATACATGTGAAATAATGATCACATTAACATAATATGGTGCATGTCTTAAAGGAGTTTGTTTTAAATCTGTCTTGTGCATCTTCCAACAATTTACGTTTATTGCTTTTTCCTCTTAATCCTTTCCGCAAATATAGGAAAGCTGATGCTTATGACTCCCCTTTTTATCAAATGTATTTTAACTTTAATAGACTTTAGGCCCATTTCTCTCTGTGTTGCAGACCCAACTGAGGACAAACCTCCCCCTATGCCCCTCACTGTGCAGACACCCTGACCCACCAGTGGGTGTCACTACTGCAGCATCAATGACTGCTGACTTCTCAGCCATGCACAGGTAAACATGAGAAAGCCAGTGTGTTCTCCTTGATCCTGGAAACATGCACTCACCCAGTATTTCCTACAGCTCTTATATCTCAGGAAATAGTTTGAACACATGCTCTTGTCATAGCTGTTGACATTCAAACACTGCTGGGACGCATCACTTTCCTGAAAAACAGAAACAAGTTTCAGGATTAGAAAATTAGAAACACAGTTACCTTGCAGCAGGCCGATGTTTGACACAAAGCAAGATGTAAAGGGTAGGTAAACGTACGTCTATGCATGGGTTATTGTCCTGATTCCGAAGCTTTCGTAAGTTTTTTTTATCCATCGGGATCTGCAAAGATGGAAAAAGAGGTTCAGGTTATGCACAGTTTCGTTGTTTAACTATTGTATGGGTGCATGTATTACTATTCATGAATCACATGTTACTGGGATGAATGTAAAACATACATCAGAGTAATACCTTGAATATTTAAATAAAGTCAGCAGAATAAAACTTGCAAATCTTTGAAACAACTGTAATATTGTTGTTGGACAATCTAAATGTCTGTATCTTTAGAGGCTAGAGAAAGGGTCCCAAATGGCCTCAAAGGATAAAAAATACAGATATGATACATCATATTCATAATGTCTATCAGAAGTTACACTCCACAAAACCACTCTGCATTTGTTACAATAAATGTTCCCTTTAGGTGTACACATGTTGCTATCACTAACCACATAAGGTGTAAGTGGTGCAAAGGTAAACAGCAACTGAACCATGTTTTTTAGGACTAGTAATATTAAAAATATGTCAGCTTGGTATGTAACATATATGCCGAATTGAAATTGGCTTCTTCCTCTTGTAGGAAATGTCTTTAATCGTGTCGACAGGTGGTGTACATTTAACAAATAACACGTTTTACTAGACTTCCCAAATGATTCAATGGAGATTGGTGTCCTCCACTACACCATGTAGCGTTGCTACATAGTAGCATGTTGACCTTCACTCATGTTACCAAACAGCTTCCATTCAAACTTCATAGCGACTGTGCATTAAGATGAGGTAAATGGGAAAAGCTAAACAAAGTTAATACATACCTTCTAATGATAACAACTTGTATCCTGCAGTAGTCTAATGAATTGTGGATAAGCGTAATATCCACACCAGTGAAGAGTATCCCGTGTGTGAAAGGACCAAAAATAACTGCTAATGCTAGTTATTCAAATGTTATGTTATGATGTGTATCCTCTTGAAATGCTAACAAGAATGTTGCTTTAAAGAGCTAGTGAGCAGCTATACATTAGCATACATGTGGCTAACTGGTAAAGCAACACAACCCATAGGCTAATACCTCCCCTTCATGCTCAAGATAACTCCTCTCTATTTGTTGCAACAGCGCACCAAGAAAATCACCCGCACCGTCAGAGACAACTGACAGCGACATCAGCCAATAGGAGCCCTGGAAAACGAACAGAATGACTGACAACCCTGTGAGCCAATGGAATATCTTGGCAGCCATGTTAGTCTTCCTATCCTTGTAAATTCTACTAAACCACATTTAAGCGATTGACAGTGCATCGAGCAAGTCCAAAAATGAGTTTTACTGAAATGGACTGTAGCTGACACTGAGGGGAAAGTGGCAGCGGCTTACACAAATCAAAAGAGTGGCGAGTGGGCGGGATTTCAGGTGGGCGTGGCTAAATCATAGTTGGGTTGAATCGCAGCGCATACACAATGGCTGCTCGAAAGTGGGGAAAGCAAACAATTTTCAGGCCCGCCGCGTCTAGCAAAAAATATGAGAAAAAAATTATTAAAAATTCGGAAAATAGTTGAAAGTGAAGAAAAACCCAACAGAAAGAATGTTAAAGCGACCGGGGTAAGTTTGATGTGAATTAAGTGAGCGGTTACCCTGTTCTTGAATTAAAATATCGGGGTTATTTAAATTATGAGAGAGGGGTGAGCTGGGGAAAAAGTTTGTGTTAATCAGTACCCAGTTTAGGACCGCAGAGAAAAGCAGGGGACGGCACACGCTTTGATATTTATTAAAATAAATTATGTCACTGGTCGTATTAGTGTCACGGTGCGTGTCCGCGAACATTAAAGACCACCGGAACCAGTAGCGTAGGAAAGTTGAGCAAAGTTGCCTCCTAACTTAGTTTATTTAAAAAAAATATAATAACAACGCTAGTCCGGTAAACACGTACAGGAACAGACGCACTTTACTTCGGCAATAACGTCATTATCACTTTTATCTGCATGTACATTGATATTTACCTCATTTTCACACTTTATCACAAGCTGTGCCAACTTACACTTATCGATTCCAGCATCTCTTTTCTGAAACCGTAATGCCACCATGTAGCGGCTACAGTGACATTTTGTCATGCTTCTCCTTTTAGCTTTATGGCTTTTTTAACCCATTGCAAGTATCGATCCCGGTGTCAGACACACACATGACAGGTCGGCTACTACCCGCTGCAAGCCTCGTAAACAACACACGGCAATTGCTTGTCAATAAAGCTGCAAAATGGAGGGAGAAGTCAAGGCAGAGTAATTATGCGATGCCCCGACTTTTTGCTCTTTAAAGGACGTGTGTTCACTTTTAGCGGTGTGGCAGGTTGCACTGTGCACATTAGAAATGGCTATGTAAGAGATGTGGTGCAGGATATCGGTGTTATAAGCGTTACACTCAAGCTACTAGGTATCAAAAGCATCTCCCATGGTGTTATCGAGGTGTAGCCCGCCAGAGCATTGGTGTGGCTGCTTGTAAAAGTGATATTGAAACAGTCACTGAGAGGAAGTGTGTTGTCAGTGTTGGCTCAAGTCTCTGTTTACACCTGTCTTAATGTGCTGATATGGATTAATGTGTAATTGTTCTGTATTTACCATGGCATGATTTTGACTGTTAATACCTGCGTTGTTACTGATATCAATCTGATTGCATGTAATGATGCTAATGTAAGGCAGAACTAGTAGCATGAGAGAAAAAGATTATTTCTTTGATGCAGAAGTTTGCTATTAGCCGTTATAAATTACTATAATTAGTCGATGCCTAAAACTAATTTTCTATATAAGATATTAGGAGAAATATTTAAGAGCTTCGGAGCATTCATACATTTGACTAGCTTAGCCTTTTGCTAATCATTTTCCTAAATGTTAAAGTGTTATTCTATAAAGGCTTGGTGAGCCTTCTGAGTTTCTCAAATATGTAACATTCTTTGACAAGATGTGGGAAATGAATTTGGATTTGCATCATTCTGTCTTATACATGTTTGAATTGATTTGATAATGACCCTTTTAAAATGAGTTGCTTTAGTTTTTTTGAAGACAAGATAATTGATTTAGTCCAAGTAAAAACATCCTCCTTGAGCCTGGGTTGTTTCTGTAGCTTTTCTGAAGAAAGGTAATTGTTAGTAATGAGATCAATATTGCAGCCTTAATAAAATAGACATTTTTGATGTGCTTAGCAACTTCTCTTAGCCCTGAAACAAATGTTTGTTAACGTGTGTTTCAGTAAATATGACAACTTTCCCCAAACCATGGTCTTATCAAACACAGGGCATTTTGTTATTACTTTTAACTGTACACTTTTAATTAAAAAATAATCAAAATGTATAAGAATATGCAAGATATTTAAGATTTGTTTCTATATTGATGAATACTTATATTTAGTTGGTACGGTTATGGCAAGTTGCTAATTGCTATAAATAAAGACACATAAGAAGAAGAATTCTTAATATCATTATGTTACTTAAAATTATTCAAATAAAGATTGAATGCATAGTGAATCTTCTTTTACATTTAAATCACTAATAAGTCTTTATTACTGCAGGACAGACGGCTGTTATCAATCTAGATATTTGCAGTAATTTAGATCATATCTGTTAGAAAAGTATGAATCAATTCAGAGGCAAGGGCTTGGCATAAATCTCTGTTTCAAGAGTGAAAGGCTCCAGGATTTATTCTTCTAACAAAAGCTACACAACCATTCTAATTTAATTAATAAAGAAATATCAGCCCTTTGTGCAGTAACAATGAAGCAGTGTGCTACATGGATAATGTAGTATCAACTTTGTACTAGTAGATATGAGTATTGTGTCCATAATAAGATTATATCATATAAACATGTGCAGACTGATAAATCTACGTGTATTTTGTAAGTTTTCAATTGTAAAATACAATGTGTGATGACAGATCAGATCTATTAATCTGTATTTGTGTCTATCTAAGGCAGGGGTGTCAAACTCAAATACACAGTGGGCCAAAATAAAAAAAATGGGTACTAATCGAGGGCCGGACTGGTTCAATGTTTATTGCAGAACTTATTGAAATGAACTTATTGCACATATTAAACCTGGAACTAACAAAGCTTAAATTAATGCCTATAAAAACAACATTAAATAATCAGTTGCACTAATTTCTTATGGCTCTATGTGCAGCTTTTCCCCGAGTCATTTCTTATGATTACATTTTCCCACAGGCCAACAACAGCTTCAAAAAAATATTCCCCTCAAAGAAAAAAACAGAAATGCCCTGTTGTCGTGAGAGAAAAAGTGCAGAAGGAAACATCCATGTAAACTCAGTGTGCTGCTCTGTGACGCTAGTTCAGATACTTGGCATCTCATCTTGGGTGCAAGTTCATCAATGTTTGGGCTCAGGCTCTGAGCTGAGGAGACCCTCAGGATGGAGTGAAGGTGTGCGTGCAATATGCCGGCGGGCCAGATCTAATAGGAATTAGAAATTATCCTGCGGGCCGAAATTAAATCCACCAAGGGCCTGACTTGGCCCCCGGGCTTTGAGTTTGACACATGTGGACTAAGGCAAGGGACACAACTACAAAAGACAGTTTGAAAAACATAATTTTCTATTATAAGTGAACTCATTAGAATGTATTTGTCCTCTTATAGAATCTAATATCCAGGGTTTCTTTTTAATATTTGTAAGTAATGGTAGCTGGTAAACTGCCAAAGCCAAGGTGTAGGAGAAACAAAAGGTATTGTGTATAAGGAAGTAATGTGGAAGTGGTTAAAGGTACAGAAGCGTTACAGATTTTGCATCTCAGGCAGCCATTTTTAAAATAATCCCCCTGTGGCAGCAGTAGTTAGTGCTTTTGGTGGATGCTTTTCCAGCTGACTTCAATTCTATATCCTCCTAATTACAAAAAAAAGGAGAATTCATAGTTTGAGGCATCAGAGTTCGGCTGTGTCTTCGATAAAAACATATAACTCGACTGTCGTTCTAAAACAAACTGTGAACTAATCATTAAAAGTGCTATTTTTAGCTTATGCTAGACACACACACACACACATATTTTACAGCCAACTACTTTACATTGGTTGTTATTTCTAGGGTTTTAAAGCATTTAACTCCATTTAATTTGTGTGCTTACATTGCATATAGTTAACTTTGCTGAAGATCACCTTTTGCTTGTGCTTACATGTATTTTCCCCTCATGTATAATTTCGCTCATATATTCTATTGCTTGTAGTTCAGATAGCCTTTGAGTTAAACCATTGTGATTGTAAAACCCAGAGTTAACTGAGCCAGTTGTTACCCTTTTGAATGTAAACAGTTATCTAAGATCTATAAGACATGTAATCCAAAGGCAGCCAGTTTAACTTGTTTTGTCATTCCTCACATCAGTTGATTTATGACTTAGGTTTTAATGTCTTTTGTACCGTCAGCAACCTGAAACCAAACCATTCACCATCTTCTCTCTCTCTCTCTCTTTCTCAGGCCCCTGAGTCCGGGCGGTGTTGAGCACATAAAACTGGAGAGAGTAATCGCATCAGAAGTAGCCGGGCTCTGCGCCCCTGTCCATGTAGCCGGTCAGCCTTAGAGTGCCATGGCCACGGGAACCCAGGGCCACCGTGACCACGTCCTGGAGAGAACCAAGCTCACGCCGCCCACAGGGAGGCGCCGGAGAGCCGAGGGCAAGCCCAAAAAGAATTTCCTTTGCCAGGAGTGTCAGAAAGCTTTCAACAGCCTGGAGAAGTTGAAGGTGCACTCGTACTCTCACACCGGAGAGAGACCCTACCGCTGCTCCCACCCCGACTGCACCAAGGCTTTCGTCTCCAAATACAAGCTGCTACGGTACAGACAGCACATAGCAGCATGTTCCTTTCTCTTTACACCTTTGCTAACATAACGCTCAGTAGTGTTCACAATTATCTGTTCTTGCATATTAGTGTCTGTGTTTGTGTGTAATGTGAAGCATGCCTTCTTGATTCTGAGTGCTCATAGAATGTGTCTGTGTTCCAAGGCATATGGCAACTCACTCGCCAGAAAAAAACCACAAGTGTTCATACTGTGAGAAAATGTTCCACCGCAAGGATCACTTAAAGAATCACCTACACACTCACGACCCCTACAAGGAGGCGTTCGGCTGCCAGGAGTGCGGCAAGAGCTACAACACCAAGCTGGGCTTCAAGCGGCACCTGGCCCTCCATGCTGCTAACAGTGGAGACCTCACCTGCCAGGTGTGCCTGCAGCCCTTCCCCAGCACCGTGGTCCTCCTGGAGCACCTCAAGACACACGCCGGCAAGTCCTCTGGTGGGACCAAAGAGAAGAAGCACCGCTGCGAGCACTGTGAGCGGCGGTTCTACACCCGGAAAGACGTGCGACGCCACATGGTGGTGCACACCGGACGCAAGGACTTCCTGTGTCAGTACTGTGCCCAGCGCTTCGGGAGGAAGGACCACCTGACGCGCCACGTGAAGAAGAGCCACGCCCGCGAGCTGCTGAGGGTGAAAACTGAGCCGGCTGATTCGCTGGAGCCCGTCGTCTTCGACTTGGCGTCTGGGGGCATCAAGGGCGAGCTGCCGGGGATGCTGACACAAAGGCCGCACCAGCTCATGTACACGGGCCCCGTCCTGGACACGGAGCCCTTCCCCAACCCCACGCTGCCTTTTTCTTTTAAGTACCCACTGGGCTCCAACTTTACCTCATACAGCGTCTCCTCACAGGAGCGGGAGCAGAATCTAAAGGGAGAACTGGAGACCTACCTGATGGAGTTGCAGAGCAGCATGCCCTCCTCATCCTCTGCAGCCCAAGAACCCCAACTCTCCTCCTCCAAACTCGAGTTGGAGCCTCAAGTGGGCGCGCTGGAGGAAGCGGGCGAGGGGGGGTCCCTGTCCAAAATGTCCTCCCAGATGGCAGCAGCCGGCGCAGACTCTCTGGCCTCGTCCTCCTCTCTGATGGACTTCTCACAGCTTTTCAACTTCCTGCCACTCAACGGGCCGCCGTACAACCAGGCGGGGGGCAGCGGGGGGGCGGGCGTCACCTATCCTGCCAACGAAGAGCCCCCCCCCCTGGTCCAGATGCCCTCCCAGGCTCCTGAAGACCCCGAGGTTGCAGAGAGTCCGCTGCAGAGGCTCCCCTCCTCCTTCATATCCAACCTGAGCTCACCCACCACACTGCCCCGCTTCCACCAGGCCTTCCAGTGATCCAGTATGTACTGCTGCCTGGCACACACACACACACACACACACACACTCGAACACACACTCACACACACACACTCACACGTTGAGTTACACCCCCTGCTATTCAGAAAAAAATATGCTAGTTAAACATGTCTGAAGATGAAGCACTTAATACGAAAGACGTACAAAGCAGATATATCATGATAAGCTCTTACAGTAACACACACACGCACACGCACACACACACACACACACACACACACGCACACGCACACGCACACACAGTTTGCCTTAATCAGCTTTCTAAATGCTGCTGCTGAGATTCCACCTATTAAGCCTTTTATTGAAGAATTCGTAAATCCTCACCACCACTACTCCTTGATGACATGTTCACATAATAGCAGGAAAATATTGCAAACCAGTTTCCAAATCTTCTGTTTCTTACTTTTCGCAACTTGAATAACTTCTGATCTCTATGATATCTAACCTATTCAAAGGCCTTTGGTGCAGTTACAACTCGCCACACACACAATAACCTGCTTTTCCACAACAATGTGAACATGGTGAGAGCTGTCAGTTCATCAGTCTTTTGGGAGTTTTCACGTAGATGCTTGCTATTAGTGATTTCATTGCAGTGACATTTTCTTTACTTTACCTCCTAGAATAGATCGGCTTGAGTGAACAGATTATGGGATATATTGTTGTTCTGCAGCACTTTGGGATGTAGTCTGTCATCACAGTTGACCTTTCACCTGACTGTAGGTTTTGGATGTTTTTGCCAATTTACATCTATTCATTACATCAAAAATGACAAGGCAGTGTTTGAATTTCATAAATGTCTAATCTGTATAGAATGACTTGAGTTGATCAATTACAGTGATCATCTGCTCATATCTTGTCGATAACTTCACTGTGCGCTTGTGTTACGCCGTACAGTAAAGTTCGACATAATGCTCACTATGCCGAATTACATATATTTCAAATATGTAGTGAAATTCTAGAAACCAATGTCTTCCTGGAATTTGGGAAAACATACTTAAAATAGCTTAAAAATCTGATTTTTATCAGAAAGTCAAGTAATTAGTAGTAAATAGGCTTAAACCTTCAAAAACATACATCTGCGGCCGTATTCACAAAGCATTTTATCTTACCGCTAGGAGTGCTCCTAACTCGCGCTAAAACATTTTACGTAGGAGTTTTTTCTTAAAAGTTATTCACAAAGCCGCTGAGACCTACTCATACTAAGGATAAATCACTAAGAGTGAACTAAGAGTGACGCGCCGTTGCTATGGATTACGTCGATTCTCGTGCATGAGTTTAGAAGCGGTCAGTACGGTGATTGGTTGTTCAGAGTAGGCGGTCTCGGTGAAACTCATCCGCAACATCCCACAAACGAGCCCACGAAAAACAAGGAAATAGCCTAGGCTATAAATGTATTCCTATCAAATAGTTATGGACAGTGCAGTTAGCAGAATACACGCATGATGACAAGTTTGTGCAGACCACGATAATGACGTCGTATATGCACGTTAAAGAGAGAGAGCAAACAATAAAAATACGTAAATTGCATTAAATCGAGGAGGCAATTAAAAGCACCCTGCAAACTATTATCCAATGAGCATATTTCCAGCACTTAAACACTTTCAATAACAGCCCATACCGCCGTTCAAGTCCCCCTATCATGATGAATGAAAACAATCTGCGTGTTGATGGAATGTACTTTCTTTCTATTGACGAACACGTCCTCATCTTTTGATGGCGCAATTATTTTTATGTGCGTCCCGTCAATAGCACCGACCACACCGGGCATACCTGCAATTGCCATGAAGTTGGCTTTGATCCTGTGTAGTTGTTGATTGTCCAAAGGAAACCGGATAAACTGTTGGATGATATGTGGTCTAGAGAGCGCGTTGATGGTTTGGTTTATGGCACGGCTGACTGATGGTTGCGATATTCCTAAATCGGCGGCATTGCAAAGTTGCATTTTTCCCTGTTGCTAAATATCGTAGTGTTGCCAAACATTTTATTTCCGGACTAATCGGGTTATTCCTGTTAGTCGGGGATGTTATTGCATCCCGCACTAATTCCACAACAAGTTTGATACCCTCACGATTTAGCCTATATCTCTTGATCAATTCAGTCTTCCATTGTCTCCAAAACATTTAGTCTCGCAGCCATTTTCAGATTCTTTGTGAATAGGTCTTACTGAGTTAGGAGTCCTCTCGAGGACTTTTAAGCTCTCCTAAACTTAGGTGCTACTTTTAGGCCTAAAATACTTTGTGAATTGCTCTTAGTGAATAAAATTAGGAGTCCTAAATTTAAGACTGACACGCCCATTATGTTTAGGAGTTTCTCCTAAATTCGCCAGTTAGGAGCTACTTTTAGCCCTAAAATCCTTTGTGAATACGGCCCCTGGTCTTTTGATCATTCCATTAAGCTAAAGTGAATTCACATGATGATGGACAAGGTACTGAGAAGGAACTACTGAGCAATAGTATTACACTTTGACATTTTAGTATAGTTGGTTGATTTTCTGCTCAAGTTTTATCTTAATTCTTGACATTCTCAAAGCTGACGTAGTAGAGTTATTTAGTTAACAAGCACCTGTTTCCACACAGAGAGCAATACACACACACACACACACACACACACACACACACACACACACACGCACACATCTCTATTCACCGTTTATGTAACCCTCGATGTGCCTTACTTCTCAAAGGTCATAAGAAAGTGTTTTTATCAAACGTCACACTCCTGTCAAACTTCTAAGAAGTGTCATTATATGAACTGTTCACCTGAAACAAATATTTGTAGTGGCTGATTGGCGGCAAAAATTGAGAACTTGTGTGTCTTGAACATAATACACCTTGAATGATGTGTTAGAACAAGCAAATGCAGAAAACTTGGGATGATAATTGGACCCAATAAGTGGAAAAAGGAGGTTGAAGAGATGCTAACGAATGCTAACATAATCATAGTTAGTGCTAGTTTGGGTTAGCATCATTAGTGACCTCAGTACCCCTGTGTGATTCAGTCACATTTCCGATGGAAAACATTAGTTTGAATGCATATTTTTGTTACCCTGGGCAACATGTTTTCATTGTGGGCTAACAGTCAAATCTGTGAGATCACAGAAATACTTTTAAAGATTGAAACATGCTGCTAGAAAACAAGATTTTGCTTTTGGGGGTTTTCCCTTTCCTGTAGTGTGTGTATAGGTTTGTGTGCCTGTAAATGGTCTGCTAAGGCTCAAATCCCGCTAAAGTCCACAGAGCCGGCCAGCCAATCAGAGCGCACTGGGCTCTAGTTGATGAGCACAATATGTCCTCTTTAAAAACCCATTTGTACAACTTTACCAAGGTTTGCTGGGGATACTGAGGTAAAAAAACAATGGCTAACTTTAGCTCCGTTTTCAGTTTTATTCTGTGTTTTCGAGCATTTTCATACAATTAACGCGCGGTGCTAGCAATCGTTAAGCAGCAATATACCAGGGCTGGGTGTCGACTGAAATGTGTTTAGCACTGTGCTAAAAGCTGAGAAAAAGACGTGTTTAGATCCATTACTGTGTTCACTTCTTATGACCCAATAGTTCCTGAACTTATTTGGTAGATTACAAATGAGATTTTGTAAGATGTATGTTTTGGTATCTGTATCACAACTCTTTTGAAATGCCAATCATTACCTACAATGCAACTGAAGGATGAAAATACTTTAGCAGATTGATATCATTTCATGAAAGAAAGATGTCCTTTTTAAACGTTTCAAGAGATATCTGACTGCACACCATACGGCAAAAAATGTGAACTTTACACCCCACACCTTCACTCCCCTTACCACAGCAGTGCATCTTAGCTCCATGAAATGTTTTTATAACCCAATAGTGTTATCATTTACCTCACGTACTCATGTTGTTTCTGTGCTCTGAAAGTCAAAAGAAATGATGATGACGATGATGATGATGAACTAGAAGTGTTAAGTCCCCCGGTTCCTTTCCTGAGTGAGACATGAATGGACACTATGTGAAAGTTGAATGTTTCAAAGCATTTATGGAAGTCTGCTATTTGTATCTTGTGAAGGTTTGTGGATTTACAAAAGATGTTAGCAAGCCTCTTTTTTTTGTTTGTAATCATAGCACTTTTTGTAAATTGAATGCCTTTATTTCCTCCAATACCTTTTTATTTGTTGTTTAAAACCTTTATTACAAATGTATAGATGATATATTTAGCTCTTTTAGAGAACAATAACATGTAAATACAATATAAAATGTTTTATTTTTACAGGTACAATTTTGACAGTGTTTTTTCCTATCAAAGTGTCATTTTTGCTTTACTTGCACAAGTGTTCTGTGTATCTCATTGGGGGGTCTTTAACAAACAATGTGCCTTTTCTATCGCTGGTTTAGGTAAGGGCACAAGTAATGGACATTTATATAGCACTTAATTGTATTATCCTTTAATTGGCTGTTTAATCAGATGTTTAAAAATACATTTAATGTATGTCAAATAACTCCTAAGGGGATTATATCACCCTTTGACCTCAGTGTGACATTGTGAAAAAAACAACTTAGTATATTATCATTTATTTTGAATATTTCCTTGTGATTTCTGCCTGAAATGTATTATCCACTCAGCTAGTGTTTTACTCACATGGCAGATTTGAGAGATTGGATTTTGTGAAAGTAACAGCAATGAACTTTGGATCAAAGACAGAAGATCCCTACACATTGGAGAAAGTAGATCCAGATTTGGCATCCTACATCAGATTAAGCTAACTTTAAATCCCCGGGGTAAAAGGGAATAGGCAAAGTCTCCCAGGAGATTCTTCAGTGAGAGCCACAGACCTTCAGCATGTCGGACTTCTTTATAAGCTTCAGTGGTACCAGTGAACTTTATTGAATGTGTAAGAAACACTGCAATACTGCAATATATTTTTGGTATTGGATCAAGCTGCTAACATACTTCTAAAGCTCCTTAAGGTGCTACAGACCTCTTTTCTAGTTCTTAAGTGTATCGTTTGTACAAAGTATCCAGTTTAGCTGAACAGTTGGCGTGTGTGCCCGGTTGAACTATATAGCGACATATATTTTTATTGTACTGTGACTTTTGTAGTCTTTTTACAGACTTGCCTGTAATATCACATGCATCCCTCACCCCCCCCTACCCACCCCTTGCCCACCTGTGTTGTGTTGTGATATTGGGAAACTGAGTCATGGCGGGGGATGGCTCTGAGTGACTCGGCAGAAAAAGAAAATGAAGACGCTGACGGTGAGAAGCTCCGCTGTTCAGAAAGAGGACGTTCAGAGACGAAGTGCATTCCAGCCATGTTGGTCTCCATGTTGGTTTCCATGTTGGTTTCCATGTTGGTTTCCATGTTGGTTTTGTTATTCGTTGCATTTCAACAATGCCATCCCGTGACAATGATGGACTCGTTGCTAATTCTCAATATTTTACTTCAAATCTATTTTACAAACTACTGTTGTATTTTTATAAATATAGGGCAAAGTAATTCACACAAACATATGTATATATATAAGTGAATATATATGTATATGTTTACAGGTTGTGTAAAATGAATGCTGCAGCTTTTATCTGTTGTTTTTTTAAACCTTGACATCATCCAAAGAGGCAGATTATTTATTGTCTGGCAGAATAAACCTGATTTGATTTACATACCTTTGCTGCTATGAGAGAGAAGAGCTGCAGTCGTCAACTCCAGTGTTTTTACACAATGTAATGAAAGTTCAATAAACATACGAGAAGGATACAACCGAGCGTCTGTTTGGTTATTATTACGTCTCATTCTTTGTGGTTTTGTCTGCTTCTGTGTAAGTCTGGGGTTACTTTGAGGCTTTGTTGTCCTGCCCACATTACATCTCTTTAAATGTAGTTTCGTGGACAGTCCCCATTTATTGTTCCAAAAACAGTAAATGGGGCAGCTTTAGCCAACATGGTTGATTTCCAGCTGTTGTCCCCGTCCATATGATCATGACAAGCATTCATTGAGAAGAAAGGAGGAAATACAAGAAGATAGTGGACAACACAAGATATAGCAAGCCAGCTAATGTATATGTATATAACTGTATATGTTGTTGGGTAGTTTAGAGAGCTACTGGCTGCATCTGCATGGAAACAAGCCAAACATTACTTCCTAAAGTCATGATACAACCCTACCTAGAAACTGCCAAACTTATCTCGACAATCCTCCTATTTAATGTCATTCTGCACATCTGACACTTAATACAAAACTGTTGATTTTGTCTTGTCTGAAGCCTAAATAAGTGCGATCTGTCAAGAAATAAACAATAAAAACAACATGAATTTTATGTTTTTTGAGCATAATGCTTCTGAGAACAGTTTGTGCTACCATGTTGTTCTTCAGTGGAAGACACTTTCAAACATATGAGGTAAAGTAATCCTAAACATTGAAATGTATTGAATGTTTCAGGATTATGCACACTGCAGTGGAAGTGGAGTGGATGTATCAGTTACAAATGAAAGCTGTTGGTCCCAAAAACTGATGTAATTGGTTGATAAAATCATGCGGTTATATTAAACAACCCCATTACCCGGTATACTTCACGCTGAAGGCTATCTAATTCCTATTCCTGCTGTGTTCCTTGACATTTATCCTTCTCTCACTTTATCATGACTCTGTTTGCTTGAAACCTATTTTTGTGGATCAGCCAAGGAGGTTAGCACAAATAAGTTGTAGAGTTTACATGAACAAACTGACAGCTCCCTGTTGCTCTCCTGTGTTATCAGCTGCATGTTACACTGCAGTAGTGTTCACTCTGTGACCATGTGTTCCTGCATGCAGGAAAAGTCTCGGTGAAAAGAGTGAAAAGGACAAACACAGGCTGTGAGCTGTGTAACATGTTCTGCAGCTCCCTCCCCCCAGCCTCAGCTCAAATGTGTCAGTGTGCACTTCTGAAACTGGACTCTGCACAAAGCTGTCTCGCGGCTAATTAAGCAGGCCGTGGCTCGCGCGCACCGAGTAGTAACTTTTTTCTGAAACACACATAAATATTATCGTGTTTTACTACCACTGAATGCAGAAAGTTTGTGATGTACCCCGCCCTCCTCCGCTGCACAGAATAAACTGAGTTGAACCATCGGGATGAACCCGTTGAACCCAAACAGAAAGTACTTCACACTCCTGGACCCCAGGGGGCGCTGTGGCCGCATGGAGGGGCTTCTGCTGGGAGAGAGCAGAGCAGAAAGTGCACAAATCTGAAGCAAAATAAATAGTAAAAAGGAATGTTTTTAAGGAGTGGCAACACAATTGGGACTGCAGAAGTCAGCATGTCAGCAGGGTCAGAGGACCATGTATTAACCAGAGGGGGGAGAAGTACTCACATCTTGTACTTGTAGTAAAAGTAGAAGTACCAGAGTGTAGGAATACTCTGTTACAAGTAAACGTCCTGCAATCAAACTGTTACTCAAGTACAAAAGTATTAACATCCATATACTTAAAGTCCCGAAAGTAAAATTAGTAATTGTGCAGATTGGTCAATTTCAGAATAATATGATATGTTTTATAATGATTGATCATTAAAGTGTTCTCAAAGCTGGTAAAGGTGCAGCTAGTTTGAATGACTTTGTATACTGCAGGGTAGCTTGTGAATTTACTCCAGGTGGAACTAAAGTCTGATTTAACACTTGATTATATATTCATGGGGGGGGGGGGGGGGGGGGGGGGGGTGGGGGGGGAGCCTCGTCGCCCACTGGGCCCCTTTTAGGCCCCGTCCGTTACCAACCCAACCCACACACACTCACGAGGACGACGATGACCTTAAGTCGGTACCGGGAAGAAGGAAACGCCAAAAATACCAGCCAATCGTGTCGCAATTTTCCACCGTAATGGCGGGGATTACATAACCTCACACCTTGATCTTAATAGAATTGGTTATTTTTTTTCTCTCTTTTAAATTTCAATTTACAATAGAAATAATTGACGACAAACAGATAGTAAATAACACCAAACGAAACATGCCATATGGGGATGATGTTATGTCTCCATACCACATGAAAATTTTGAGTGAGGTGATTGTACCCATTAAATTATGGACAATAATGTGCTAAAGAACTA